ATTCCAAAGCCATTGTCCCTTCCCTTATGTTGCTCTTCCCTCACACTCTGGCTTTTACTTCTTGAATAAGCCATCACAGTCTGTGAAATTATCTCTCTCCGACTAGCCTAAAATAAACAATAGCAAGATGTCAACACCCACCACCTGGGAACTTTAGAAAACTATGGTGTCAAGCCTCATTGACTGCCGAGATATGAAATTGCGCCTAATTGGGTTTCTCATCCCATTTCTCCCAGGTGATAATTCCTTACAAAGCATATCTTCTGTCACTTTGTGCACTTCAAACCCTACCTAGGATAATCTCATGGTAATCTAAAACAGTGGCTGGCAAACTATGGCCCATAGGCCAGTGCAGCCAGCTGCCTATATTTCTAAATGAAATGTGGGACCACACTTCTATTTGTTCCTGTGATGCCCCTCTGGTTCCAAGTCATCCGAAACACCTGGAATAAACCCTCCACATCCATGGGCTCAATCCTGAAACTCAACCAACCGAAAATCGAAAATATTTGAAAAGTAATTACTTCTGTACCAAATATGTACAAATTTTTCATGTCATTCTCTAAAAACTGTAGTCCTATAACTATGTGCATTGCATTTATTTTGTATCGGATAGTATAAGAAATCTAGATATGAGTTAAAGTATACAGAAAAGCCTGGTATCAGTGGCTAATGCCTGTAATCCTAGCTACTTAGGAAACCTGGACTATTGTGGCTAGAAGCCAGCTTGAGGAGAAAAGTATAGGACACACCATCTCCAGTTAACTAGCAAGATGCCAAACTGGAGAAGTGGCTGAAGTGGTAGAATGCCATCTGAGCAAGAAAGCATGAGGCTGAGTTCAAACCCAATGTAAGTGAATGGGGTGGGGGGGAGAGGGTACTATCTGCTATAGTTATTTACAGAGAATCTCAAATGGAGAATAATGCCATCCATAGATGATCTAAGTGACATACACAATTTTATATTCAGCCATTACCATATTAATAAAAGTAAACAAAAGCTGGGTACCAGTGGCTCATACCTCTAATCTTAGCTACTTAGTATTCTGAGATCTGAGGATTATGGTTCAAAGTCAGCCTGGGCAGGAAAATCCATGAGACTCTTATCTCCAATAAACCAGCAAAAAAAAAAAAAAAAACCCAACCCCGAAGTAGAGGTGTGGTTCAAGTGGTGGCGTGCCAGCCTTGAGCATAAAAGGCTCAGGGACAGAGCCCAGGCCCTGAGTTCAAGCCTCAGGACAGGTACTAAATAAATAGATAAATAAATAAACAAGAACAAGTGTGATTAGCTTAAATATGTTTTAATTAACTTGATGTATCCATCTATTACCACTTCAACATGCATTCAACATAAAAATTATTAAAAGATAGTTCATAGCCTTTTTGAAATTAGCAAGGCTTTGAAATCTGGTTTACTTTTCCCCTTCCAGGCTGGCTTAGTGAGGACCAGCCACATTTCATTACTAGTGGCTCCTCCACCTTGCCAGTTAACGTATGTCTGGACTCTGTATCTTTGGGTATGCTTTTGCACTTGAGGTGTGGAGCCAGGTAAAAACAAAATAATCTTCCCATGAATGTATAGAGATTTTCTTTGAAAGCCGGGCTCGGGTGGCTCACACCTGTAATCCTAGCTATTCTGGAGGCTGAGATCTGAGCATTACAGTTCAAAGCCAGCCAGGGCAGGAAAGTCCGTGAGATTCTTATCTCCACTAAACCATTAGAAAACCGCAAGTGGTGCTGTGGCTCAAGTGGTACAGCGCTCGCCTTGAGCTGAAGAGCGCAGGGACAGCGCCCAAGCCCAGAGTTCAAGCCCCACAACCAACCAAAAAAAAAAAAAAAGAAGAAGAAGAAAGAAAGAAAAAGAAAGATTTTCTTTGAGCAAGGATTTGAAGGCAAGGCCCCAGAGAGGGACAGCAGGTGTGGAATTCCTTCACCCACTGTGTTAGGAGGGTGACATTTCTGGCCAAGCTGACTGGCCAGTACATTGTGCTTATTAATGCAGAAAAGTATGATGGGGACATTTTTGGCAATCAGATGTAAAAGAACGAACGGGATTATTACTAAATGCACTTTGCAATGAAATCTAATGAAATCAAATGGCAGTTCTCCAACATGCTGTTTTAAAAGAGTATTTTGCTGAAGTTTGTAGTATTGGCATTAGAAATGTGCTGGAAATGAAACAATCAAAACAGGAGCGAGAACTCGACCAGGGTGAGTTTTTCAGCACTGTATAAAAAGAGTGTGGAAGAGGTGTCTTCTTGTGCAGGAGCTAGTGGGGAGGCCTGTCGTCCCTGCCCGGCTTAAGGTGCATAGTGGCCTAGGCTTTTAGTGGCTGTGGAGAGCCATAGCTGTGGGTGAGTTCTGACGCATCCCAGTGGCTTGATTAGGTGCTGTGATTTAGCACACCTGGTCTTCCATTCATCCAATGACGGATGTGCCGTACGCATGCTGGGATGGTGGGTGTATCCCTTTATGTGTGTGCATGCAGAATGCAACCCAGACTTCACAGGGCCATGAAACTCCATCTTGCTCCCAAGTGGGTAGATGATGGAAAGGTGCCAGACTTTAGGCTGGCCTCTGCTCTCCCTCCTCCCCCCCTTCCTCCATCCCCCCCCCCAAGGTGAGCCACGTGGGAGACACTTGTGGGTTGTCACTTCCTCATCCCCTGAGAGGGGGCAGGCGGGGCACCTGCGAGGGCCTGTGCACTCTAATTCATGCTCTACTTCTAATTATAAGATTATTTTTGTATTTGTTTTCTCCCTGTAATTTGGCAGTATAAATGAGAGCATGAAACAATTCAGTGGGGGTGGACAGTTTTGGCTCGTACTATTTACATATATTTATTCCCATAAAATTCTCAGGATGGATGGAAAGGAATAGCCACCCCTTCTCTCTTCTGCCTTTTCCAGAAACTGCATTTCCCATGTGCACCTTTTCGTTGGATTGCCCTCCACCCTTTTTGAATATTCATGTGGTTTGAAATGGAAAGAGAAATGAGACCGGATAACACACAGCTCTCTCCCTCTTACTGTCTCCTGGTCAGTCACCTACCTCCTCCTTATCTGTGGTCCCTGGGAGCAATACCTGCCCTTGTGTATCAAGTGGGCTTTTCTTTGTGGGGATGGCACTAAGGACTGAACGTGGGGCCTTTCAGAGGCACTCTACCAGCTCAGCCACACCTCTAGCCTTCAAGAGTATTTTTAAAAACCACGTGTGTACGTGTGATCCATATCATATTCTAAACCTACTAAAAACAACAGTAGCCTTACCCCACCCCCCCATGCCCTTTAAACACCATTCCATTAGTTGCACATGAAGTTGCTCCTCTTTTCATAGTAGTATAGTACTCCGAGGACAGATCCGTTGCAATTTATTTAACAAGACCTCCTTTGATGGACATTTAAACTTCCCATCTCCTGTTGTGACAAATACTGCTGCCATGAAAAATCTGCCTACATCACCTTCTGCCCTCCTTCCTTCCCATCTTCCCTCCCTCCTACCTCCCTTGTTTCCTTCCTACTTTTGATTACCCCATTGATAGATACTTGAGTTGCTTTTAGCCATTAGGAATATAAATATTTGTTCAAGTGCTTATTTTTAATTTTTTTGTATGTATACACACAGAAGTGGAGTTGCTGGATTAGAGTCTATAATACCTATTTGTTTGCTTGTTTTGTGCTGGTATTGGAGCTTGAACTCAGGTCCTGGGCCCTGTTCCATAACTTTTTCACTCAAGACTGGCACTCTACCACTTGAGCCATAATTCTACTTCTGTTTTTGTGTTTTGATTTTTTTTCTGGTTAATTGAGATTAGAGTTTATAGACTTTCATGCCTGTGCTGGCTTTGAACCTCAATCCTCAGATCTCAGCCTCCTAAGGAGCTAGGATTATAGGCATGAGCCACTAGCACCCAGTTTACTTATCTGTTTTCGAGAAACTTCCATACTGCTTTCCATTGCAGCTACTACATTTTAAGTTCCCACCAACCATGCATGGGGGTTCCAACTTCCCTACAACCCCATCAATGCTTACTTTCTGTTTTTCTTTCTTGTTATAGAAACTATACTAATAGATGTGAAGTGGTCCAAGGTGACCTTTACACTGTTGTGTTTTGAATATGTGAGCCACAGCACGTTCACAAGAACTCTTAGCCACACACATTTCAGAACCTCATACTCTAAACAACACCTTGATTTCATAGCCAAACTTCCTGGATTTCTTCAGGAAGAAATGCCCACAGTGAGAGCCCTTGTCATTGAAAGAAGCAACAAAGTGAACACATAGCTACAAATCTCTCTTGGCACAGGTAGCTTCGTTCATGGTGAAAAGATCAGACAGCCCAGCTCCTGATCCAGGAGTGCCTGTGGGTGACCTGGAGTGGTGGAGACCCCCCGCTGGCCCATCCATCTTGTAGGCTTGTCCTGGCCCTGCATTTGCAGGGCATAAGAGGGCCAGGTTGGCATCTTCAATAGGTTTCTAAAACCATTCGAGTTGGTAGTGTCTGGCCACCATTTGGCGTCAGGACAGTAGTTTGCAAATGTCTGAAGCTGGGTGTCTTCTGTTCCCTGCAAAGCAGCTTTCTCTGCTGCTGGATTGCTCTGGAATTACTGCGAGGAACTTTGAAAGTCACATTTGATCAACAGATGTTACTGAGCCTGGGGAGAGAGATCAGTGTGTGTGTGTGTGTGTGTGTGTGTGTGTGTTGGGTTTCTCCAAATGTTTAGTAATCCATTGCTTCACATTCATTACTTTCTGTCAATTTATCCAGGAAAAATAATGATTCACACAACTATTAATATGATGATCCATGTGTGCGTGCGCACATGCATGTGCTTGTGCCAGTACTAGAAATTGAACTCATAACCTCACATTCTCATTTGTCTTTTTCCAATTAAGGCTGGCGCTCTACCACTTGAACCACACCTTCCCTCCACTTCGTAAGATCATGATTTTTTTTAACTTTCTGTATCTTGCTTTTGTTTTTTTCTTCACCTTTCCAGAATGTTGTTCCATCTTTGGGTAGGCAGACTTCCCTGACTACCTGGGTGATGCCCAAAGCCGAGCAGAGCACGACTTACAAAGACTTTATTTCTTTTACTGCCTTTGAAGGAAGCGTGCGCAACGTGTCTGAGGTCTCGGTGGAATATTTATGCTCGCAGCCTTGCGTTGTTCATCTGGAAGCCGTGGTTTCCTCCGAGTTCAGAAGTAGCATCCCTGTGTACAAAAAACGGTGGAAGAACGAGAAACATCTTCACACCAGCAGGACACAGATAGTGCGCGTGAAATTTCCAAGCATTATGGTGTACAGAGATGACTTCTTCATCCGGAACTCCATTTCTGTCTCCGCGGTGATACTACGGGGCTGGATTACGCACCAACACCACGGTGGAGACTTGAATGTTAAATGGGAAGAACACTTGCTCCATGCAGTGGCCAAGAATTACACGCTGCTGCATTCCGTCCCCCCTTTCCAGCGCCCCTTCAAAGACCACCAGGTGTGCCTGGAGTGGAACATGGGCTATCTTTGGAACCTTTGGGTGAACAGGATCCCCCAGTGTCCTGTGGAGAATGGTAGGTCATTGGCTTTGCTAGGAATCCTATCCATCTGTCTTTATAGATGGCAGGAGAAGGTTCTTCAATTAGCAGTGGGGTTGCGAATGCAAATGTAGGGGGTGCATTTGGACTTTGGGGACAAGAGGAGAAAAGAAAAAGGGGGAAGAGAGGAGGAAGATGAGGAGAGGCGATGAATACAGGGAGGCTTTGAGAAGTTCAGAGCTGAATTGCTGGCTAAGAACATGAATGCTCCCAGGAACAAAGGCTGGGAACTCTTCCTCCAGGCTCTGGCCTCCCCTACCCCGCAAGTTTCAGCTGTTTTTTTTTTTTTTCCAAAGAATGTTTTATCTCAGAGGAAATACAGCCCTGAAGGAATCCTTCTGTTACACAGGGAAGTTGGAGTTCAGAACGCTAACTCCTGCCTGGGTCTGCTTCTATGTAACGATAGAACTCTTTGCATGACTCAGTTTTCTGTATTTGTAAAATGGGAAAACAATCCCCTCAGAGAACATGGAGGGGATTCATGTCAGCACTCATTAAGATGTAGTGATGGTGGTGACAGAGTCTATATTCTGCATGATATCCTCACACTCACCTGGCAGATCCCCCACAGCACAGCACAGGAGACCTCGGACCCTTCTGTGTGGGGACTAGAGATCTCTGGTGCTACTTAGAATTGGGTCTGAAGACCTGCAGGTCCCAGGAGTCACCTGGCTGTGGGGGTGCTGAGTTTCTGCCAGTTCTGCCCCCCACCTGTACCAAGGAGTGAGGCCAGGCTGACACTCAATCCCTCGGCCAAGATCTGGTATGCTTCCTGTTAGCCTGAGAGAATTCCCCAGAGCTTTGTTTGGGTTGTCCCTTAGCTTTTCCATTCAAGGGTAGTGCTCTGCCACTTGGACCAGCCACACTTCTGGCTGCTGGGTTGTGAATTGGAGATAAGAGTCTCACGGACTTTCTGCACAGGTTAGCCTCGAACTGTGAGCCTTAGGTCTCCGCTCAGATCCAGAGTAGCCAGGACTATAGGCATGTGCCACCAACACCCAGCCATGTTTTTTTTTTAATTAAAAATTTTCTGAATTAACATACATTTGTAGGTCGCTTAATGCCCTTTGGGCAAATGCATGATCTTCATAGGTTCCCTTTGCTTCCTTCCCTCCTCCCTCCTTTGTCAAACAGCATTTGGTGAGTTTCATGATAATATCTTCATATATAGAGGAATAAATGTGTGTGATGCCCTTTGATCTTCATCAGCCCGCAGGGTCCCCTCTGCTCCCCTTCCAGTAGGTCACCTCCTAGATGGACGTCCTGTTACATTTCTCTGTAACTCTAGTACAACAGCAAAGGCAGATAACTAGCGCTGATGGAGTCCTGTTCACTAGACTACAGGCAGAACTCAGGTTCCTCTGCTTTTCACACTCATTTCTGTGTGCATGTGCGGATGTGTGTGCATTGTGTTCAGCTTCATCCTGCATCCTGGTGGCACTTTGATACAGAGATCCATAGAATGAGGCAGACTCTCGCCCCTGTGTGTATGCATGTGTCCTAGGTAGAGTAGGGAGGGTAATTAGATGTCTGAAATAAGTTGAGCTGCGTGCATTTGCATGACCGATGTGCGGCCCTCCTCCAGGCAGAGCCCCGTGCTCACATCTGTCTGGAATGCCTTCCACAGGGATTCTTAATTTGTTGAGCAGAAGGAACGCGGGGCACACGCAGCCACAGTTTTTGCTTCGCCTCTGACTTTGTCAGGCCTTAATGATTCCATTTCATGTTTGGCAAATCGCATATTTCTCATTGAAGAATGGCTGGATTGCAAGCTGGAAGTTTCCAAATGAAATCATTTATGAACCGGCTCCGTTCTTAAGGCACCTGAACATGCCCTGAAAATCTGAAACGTCCTTTTCATTCTTTTGTTGTTCCTTTTCAGGGCTTACAGGTTTCAGGAATGGCACAGTGGGATTTTTTTTCTCCCCACCTTTCTTGGAGCATTAGTCTTGGTGGGAGAACTAACCTAATAAAATCAGAATGCAGAGGAAAACCTTTGCTAAGAGTTAAAGTGGCTGAAAATGATGTAGAGAGATCCAAGCCCTCTCAAAACCAGCTCTGTTCCTACCATGTTTTGTTGATCAGAATAAGGGAACATTTCCTCTTTTTCTCCTTAAAAGCTGAGCTCTGGTGACTCACACCTGTAGTCCCAGCTCCTCAGGAGGAGGCTGAGATCTCAGGATCACAGTTCAAGGCCAGCCCAAGCAGGGAAAGTCTGTGAGACTCTTATCGCCAATTAACCAGCAAATAGTCAGAAATGGAAGTGTGGCTCAAATAGTAGAGTGCCAGCCTTAACTGAAAAAGCTAAGGCACAGTGCCCAGGTCCTGAGTTCAAGCCCTCGTACTTCCCCCTGCCCCCTCACACACAATAAGACAAATTGCAGAGACAGAGCAGCAGCTCTGTGGCAGGTGTCCCTGACCTCGGTCCTCCATGTGACTGCCCTCTGCCCTCTTTACCCCACTTTCAACCAGAAAGTCAAGTCACAACAGGAGAAAGCATGTAAGGCACAGAACTGAGCTTTGGGGCCACTGGCCACATCTGCTCCTCGTCACCGTCTGCAGCCCTCAATTCTGAGGGCTTGGGGGTGTTTCTGTGTCAAGCGCCTGAGGTTTTGCCACGGCCCTGCCTCTGAACTGCAGCATCTCTGCTTGGTGCTGCAGCATGGATGTTGTGCCTCAGCCACCAGTCTGGCTTCTGCTCTCCTAGGTGAGGGTTGTGTGGAGGTTGTATAGCTCCTTCACTAGGACCCGGCCAGGCCACTGAACCAGACTTTAATCTGTCCCTGAGAGCAAACTTAGCCCAAATCAGAAGTCAGCACCCTTTCAGATATGTGTGTGCCAGGCTCAGCAATGCCCCTCCAGTGCCCCTTTCCCTACTGCATGCAGGGTGTGGGCCTCGTAGGTAGTTAGGCAGGCAACGCCTGTGGCTCCATTGTTGTCTGCTTCCTTGAGGGAGGGGTCAGGCAGAATCTGTTGTCCCACACAAGTCCCGTGTGCCTGACTCATGCATGAACTCCCAGTGGAAGAAAAGAAATCATCCCCCTAGTTCTCCCCCCACCAGTCTCCCCAGTCTGGGGCTTTTGGACTTTTTCTGCCACACCCTATGCTAAGACTCAGCAGGTGCTGTGAGGGACAGCTTCAGCTCATATGTATCGCGTGTTCAATCTCTCCTTGCCTCATCCTGGTCTAAGTCACCTGCAAGACTCCAACCACTGCCTGCAAGTGGTCCCCAGCTTTATCCTTGTCCCCTTTGGGGTCTGTCTCTGTCTCCTTCTGTAAGATCTCTGTGTGGCTCCCTTCTTGTCTGCTTCATACTGCTGCTCAAATGACAGCTTCCATGGACACTTGGTCCAAGGTAGGGCCTTGCATGCCACAACCCCCTAAGACAAAGCCTCCTTCTCCCCAGCAATTCTGCCCTAGCACCCAGCCTTCACCTCCCCACACCTTTAGTTTTCTCTACAGCCTCATCACCAACAGGCATTATAGTTAAGTGACCATTCTTGCCAGTTTGCCTGTTGGATGGTTCCCATATTAGAAATCCCACTAGAGAAGGCCAGGGCCCCTTGCTTTGAGTCCTGGGAACAACATCCTGTGGCACAACATGCCAGTGTCCCCAGTTGCTGTGTTGTGGCACTGGGGAGCATGGGGAGGTAAGGAGCAGCAGTGTACCCTCTCATAACTTCCCAGGGGGTCACCCCCAAGGGGCACTGGTTAAGATGGCAGACTCCTAGTCATCCATTCTCTTTTGCATACCCACCTGGACCCATCTTAGTGGGCGGAGTCTGTGGTTCTCATAGCCCCTCCCACTGCTCTACCCTAGCCCTAATGCCCTGGACCAACCTCAGCCCATTTCCTCCTTCCTTGTCTTCCTGGCACAATCATGCTAGTCCTTCCATAGCCAGGTCAATTTCTATCCCCACTCTGAATATAGATATGCATGTGTCTATATATGTGAATATGTGTATGTATATATACTTTTTTTTTTTTTGCCAGTTCTGGGGCTTGATCTCAGGGCTTAGGCACTGTCCCTAAGCTTCTTTTGCTCAAGGCCTTCAGCCACAGTGCCACTTCTGGCTTTTTCTGTTTATATGGTACTGATGAATCGAACCCAGGGCTCCATGCATGCTAGACAAGTACTCTATCATGAAGCCACATTCCTATCCCTACTTAATTTTATTTCCACAATCAGAAATAAACTCCTTGGCTTCACAGAGCCCTCTGTGGGAACCTCTCATGAAACAAAGGCCAACTGAACCCCTCTACTAGGTTCCAATTTCTAGACTCAGATTTGGAAGCTCAGGGATGATGTGGTTCCCGGGAGGTGAGCAGTTCCCAAGGGTTGTAGCTGCTTGGCCTGGTAAGGCCTCCTTGTGTGCCAGGCGCTGTGTGAAGCACTTCTCGTGAGAATGGGACTTTTCTGCAGGGCAGAAGAGGGAAGGGACTTGTGTAGACATCATGGCTTGTCCATGGCCACCCTGAGGGATGAGAGCTTGAAGCTGTTTCTCTATTTGTTTACTTAAAAACATTCACGGTTGACAGTTTCTGAGATGTCTTTATATATTAAGTGCTTTGCTAGGCTTCTTTACAGAGGTGACATTTGGACAGATATCCAAACTGTGACTATAGCTTTCACCATCAAAAGAATGGAGTGAAGGACATCCAGGCAGAAGGGAAAGCATGAGCCACCACAGCCTGACTGGGGACTAATGACTCACCTGCCTCCCTTGATATACAGATGGCAGACAGGCTTCACTGTGTGTGCTTCCTAGGGCTGATGGGAGGGGCTACCCAGAGCACACGGTGTGTTGATTGACAGCTTCTGGGGCTGAGTCTCTCTTGGTTCGAGAACCATGTCATTTAGTTATAAATATCTGCCATAGAATGGAATGTGGACATATTTGAGTCCAAAAGCAGAATCTCAGGTGTGAGATAGACATTTCAAGTTAGGACCACGCTGTTAAGCACCAAGCCAAGGG